TTAAATGGGAAGAATTACTTGAGGTGGTATCAATTTGTGAAGACCTACTAGAAAAGGAAAGGAGAGATAAATTACATCCTTGGGGTAGGACCAAAAGAAGGAGATCCAATTTTTGGGTATGGGATGAAGTGAACTCCATGATTGTCATTATTGTTGAATTCCATGACTCTAGACATTAGTGATATTTTTATGTTCTATATATTGCCTAGGACATATGGGATGCCACTAGACAAAAATTCTCAAAAGCTCGGGATGCTGGTCAAGTCTTCGAAATTAAGGTCAAGGTGAGAAGTACAAAACAACGAAGCAAGTCCGTGATTGAATATGTTATTCTCTTTCAAAGCTTGTGGCAAGAACTTGATCACTACAAATATATAGAGACCAATTGTCCAGAAGATGCTGTTATCCTAAAAATCTTTGTTGAGAATGATAGTGTATGACTTTCTTGTAGGATTAAATGTGGAGTTTGACCAGGTTAGAGTTTAGATCCTTGAAAAAGACGAGACACCTTCACTAAATGAGACCATTTCTCTCACTCGTGCTGAGAAAAGCTGATGAGGGATAATGCTAGAACCAAAGGCTATTGAAGGTTCAACAATGGTGACAAGAGGCCGCTATGAAAGGAAAGAGATAATGATTTCTCCAATCCTAAAGACAAAGACTATCTTTGGTGCAATTATTGCAAGAAATCAAACACATAAAGGAGTCCCATTCGAAGTTACATGGAAAGCCCCCCAAGTAAGAAGTTGAATCAAAGAAGTGGACATCATAAGTGCGACTACAACAACTTTGTCTAACCTAGAAATGAAGTTCAATATCATATAACTCAACAAAGCAGATATTGATAAGTTAAAACAACTCCTGATATCTATTAAAAAATCACCTGCATCTTCTTTTCTTGTACTTTCAGGTAAGTTTCTTATATCGCTCGGATTAGGTGTATTTAAAAATTAATTGAAATATTTATGAATTATTGACTCAGGAGTCACATATCACATGACATACTCCATTACCTACTTCATTAATTATACTCCTTGCTCGAGCGATAAGAAAATCATCACTGTTGATGGTTCTCTTATCATACAAGCAGGTTAAGGAGAAATACCCTTACCTCCCTCTCTCACTTTAAAAAATGTACTTCACGTACCTCAGTTATTCACAAACCTAATCTCTATAAAAATACTTACCATTCATTCTAATTGTCAAGTTCTATTTTACCCTACTTGTTTATTTAGGCCCACGAATCAGGGAATAAGACTAGACTTATTAAGGAGAAATATGGACTATACTTCCTAGAAAAGCTGAAAAAATCCACTATTATCAATAATGGCCATTTCATGCCATCTCTATTTAATAAAAAATTTATTATTTGGCTTTATCATTTTTTTAGGATATCTATCTTTTGATGTATCAAAAACTTTTTTATGACTTAGAATTCAGAAAATGAATTATTTCACTGGGAAATCTGTGAGTTAGCAAAGAATAAATGAGTTTCTTTTCTAAACAAAAATGAGAGATATCATACTCCCTTCTATCTTATTTATAGTGATATATGAGTACCCTAAAAAATTCCTAACATTTTAGCAGCTCTATAGTTTGTATTCTTGGATCTTTCTCCTCACAAATAAATTTGATGTTAGCCATTCTCTAGACCAATTTAGTGTAAAAATAAGAAAATTTTGTTCCAACAATGCCACCCTATCATCTTACTTTCAAAACGAAGGTATTATTCACGAGTCTTCCTGCATTCATATCTCACAACAAAAGAGAGTTGTAGAAAGAAAAAAATGCACCTTATCTCTACCCATGCACTTCTATTCCACCATAATATACTCAAATTCTACTGAGGGAAGCCCTTATGATTGCGACTTATCTCATAAATTGACCATCTTAGAAAATCTCTGGACTAAAAACCCCAATAGATATCCTCTCATCTTTTTGCCTTGAATTTCGAACCTATTAAAACCTCACACTCAGAATATTTGGGTGCACTGCCTATGTTCATATTCAGAGTCAAAATAGAGAAAAAATAGATAAAAGAGCACGCATGTATCTTTGTTGGATATTCATCCACCTAGAGAGGTTTTAAGTGTTATCACCTATCCACCAAGAAAACTCTTGTATCTGTTGATGCCACTTTCGACGAACAAAAATCATATTTAATCAAATCTCATCTTTAGGGGGAGATTGAAACTGAGGTAGCTGAGGAAAGTGAGCTTTCCACCTTGACTTTTTAGCTCCACCTCAAACCGATCCACCTTATCCTGAAACCAAAGCTAAGGAAACTGAGGACAATATTATTATGGATAACATGAGGTTTGAAAAAGTATATTCTAGGTGTACAAATCCAAACTTTGCTTTAGTGCATATTCAAGAATAAGAAACCATCTCCTGAAATTGAGGTAAACACAAGTTCACCAAAATAATCTCATGTAATACCTCATAACTAACTTTGTATAATTTTGTAATTTTTCACCTTCACATAAAAATTTTATTGTCACACTAAATAATATTGATATTCTTAAAAATATTTATGAGGCCTTATCTGATGATAATTAGAAGAGTGCCATGAAAGATAAAATGCAGGCCTTAGAAATGAACAATACCTGGGAGATTACCGACCTACCAGTTGGAAAAATACTGATCAGCTGCAAATGGGTATTGTCTGTGAAATACAAAACTGATGGTACACTGGAAAGGTACAAGACAATATTGGTAGCAAAAGGGTACACTCAAACTATGACATTGACTACCAAGAAACTTTTGCACTTATGGCCAAAATGAACAATGTTAGGATCCTGTTCTCCATAGCATCTAATTATAACTAGCATTTGGAATAGTTGGTGTTAAAATTGCATTCCTATACGGGGAGGTGGAGGAAAAAATATTTATGGAGATTTCACCATGATTCAAAGAGAATTCTGAGGGTGACAAAGTATGTAGGTTAAAGAAGGTTCTACATGAGCTAAAACAATAGGTTAAAGGTCTACATGAGCTAAAACAATCACATAGAGGCTGATTTGGAAGATTCTCAAAGGCCATGCTACTCAATAGATATAATTATATTAATATTTAATTAATAATTATATTACTAATTAGACAATTAATTTATGCACTAATTATACTATTAAGTATTTAATTAATTTGCTTAATTATTAATATTTAAATTATATTAATTAAGTTAATCAATAATAACTTAGCTGCGTCTAGGGTTTGCCTTTCATCTTCTCTTTTCGTCCTTGTTGTTTGGCTTCGTTGCTTCATAGGTGTAGAGATTACACGCGTCGCTTCTTTGGCTCCTTTGTGGCTGTTCGACTGCGCTCCTTCGACTACTTTCCCTTCCTGTCGGATCATAAGTTACGACATTTTGATAAGAAGAAACAACGGGAGCTCGTTGGCTCGCTGGCTTTGAAGGTAACTTTCTCCCTTTCGAGGCGCTACCTCGATGCTCACGTATTGAGGCGTACGCCTCCGTGGAAAAAGGCGTAAGCCTTGCCTGGACGTTCGAGGCTTAAGCCTCAGTTCTCCCGCCCTCCGCCTCGAGGCGTCCGCCTCGAACGCCTTTTTAATTGATGCTTTAAATTTTTAGTGGGAATGTTTAACCGTTCATGCTCATTTATTGGAAATTGTTAAAATTTATGCTCATTTTAGAAAATCCATAATTTTATGATACCAATGATGCACAAGGCAGAACAATAAAATTATATTGTTCGTTGTATTTTAAATTTGGCTCGAGGTAAACTGATTAAAGGTTGAATAAATAAAGTTAATTATTATAAAAAATACTTAATTATACATATATATATACACACACACATGTACATCTAAATTTTATGAAATATGTATATATATAGATGTATTATATATATAAATATGTGTGTGTGTATGCTTGCATAATAAAATTTGTTGACATACATGTTTTAATAGAAATATAATAGTTATAGTTTTCAATTTGAATTAAAATTTTAAACATAAAGACATGCTTTATCTATTAGTTAAATATTATTTAAAAATATATATTTTTCAAAATTAAAATTGCATCACTGTCATATTCAAATTTGAAAATAAAGGTCTCTTATTGTGATAGTTTTGAAATCTGTTTGAAAGCAAATTTCAAACTTTGAAGGTAAATTAGAATATATGCAATAGTCAAATTTAGAAATAGTGATATTCATAATGTGGTTGTTTTAAAATATATTTAATTTCAAATTAAAAGAATGTGCCACATAGCGATCATATACTATGCTAAGTGTTGTCTCTTGGTTTCATGTACTAGTTTGGTATATATGAAGGTATTTTTTGCGATGCGCTCTCGTTTAGATATTTTATCTTCTATGGATACTTGGTCTCATTGCTCATTAAACTGGAATAACAATTTTTTTGTTCTTTCAATCATGTACATTTTATTAAATTTAGAAGAGCTTAAAATGGTTGTGGGTTGAACTAACATTATGTCAAAACCTAATTGCGTACACTTGTCTTTCAGAATATCATTAGATGAATTGCCTTTTCAGATCTCTAAATGTGGAATAAGCTTGTTGCAATATTAAGAGGTTTTATTAATTTCTGATGTTCGTTTTGTTTTTTACTCTTTTTTTGTTCCACTGGCGGTGCTCCAACTGCTTAATTATGATGCAGAAAATTAACTATTTCTTTCGGGGATCAAATGAATTTTAAAAATTGTCTCATTGACGTAGAATTGATAAGCTAAATCTTAGCTAACATCCTTTTTAAATTTGTGGTCAAGTAGTTGCAATTTTTCAAGTTTGGGGTGACATAGTCATAATTTTGATTATCATGATTGATCAACATAAGGGGGGCAATCTGCAAAACAAATACTACTTCTTGTGTTGTTGTTGATTATTATGTAGATGAATCGGTAAATTTCTTTCATATTCCTGTTTTATCAATATGCCAAGTAATAGCACAGAAAAAATATAGCTATTATTTTATAATACTACCTTACCCTTTTGTTGGAATAATGGTCATTCTTTTTGTAGATAATTAATGATCGTGAAGTTGGTGGAAAATGCTATGGCTTTGTCACCTTTACTAACCCCAGATCTGCTGTTGATGCTATCAGCGATATGAATGGCAGAGTATGTCCTGCATTTCTACAGGATGTGACTTATTATCTTTATTATAAATTGTTGTAGATGGTCTATAGAAGAATATGCTTTTCGTTGAAATCTTTAATTTCTAGACATTTTAATGCTTTTTAATGGAGACATTTTCTGTTTTCATCTAGACTATTGGTGGGAGAGTTGTCAGAGTTAATGACGTTCGACCTAGAGGTGTGAGGCCAAATTTTCAACGTGACAATTTTCATCGTGATGCCGGGAGGGAAGTTGATTGGGATAATGAAAGGGATAGAGAGAGGGAATACGTACGTGATAGAGAACGCTATAAAGACAGAAATCATGAGAGATCTAGAGACCGGGATAAGGAAAGAGAAAGAGATCATAATTATGCTCGTGACTTTGATCGTGCAAGAGAGCAAGCTGTAGATCGAAGTCGGGATCAAGATAATCAAGTTCACGCACATGACCGCGATCGGGACTGGGAAAGAGATAATGAAAGTGATTTTGATGAAGATCGAGATGTAGATGAAGATCATGACGCAAGTAGGGATAAGGGTCATCAAACCAAAAATAAGCTTCGGTAAGCTCCTCCCATTAATTTTCCCATGTTAGATTAATCATATATATAGGTGTTTTCATGCACTATAAAGTTATATGACACCTAGATCAATATAAATGAACTCTATTAGATGCATTAGTGTGAACTGTGAAGAAGAACAATTAGCGGGAACTCTACGGTGCACTTTGTTTTTTCTTCTAACCATTTTCCTTATGTGCTTAGTTGTAGTTGGCTATAATTGAAGCATATAATTTTCATGTTGTATATTTAGGTTGAGCTGTAATTCGGTCATAAAATTAATCAGTGAATACATAGTAGGTGGTGATTTCGTCTAAGGTAGAATACTTATTAAGTTATTTGAAGATCTATCGAAATATTGACTAAAGATTGTTCAAGAAACTACAGTCCAACAATCCTTAGCTTGACACTTAGCTTGCATGAAGAACTATTACTTTCCACCGTATGTTTGCACCCTTAGGAACATAATTTTGTTTGCATATATACATGCTTGTGTGTAATTATGGAATATTTGATCTTATCCCTTGACCATGTGCATCTAAGTTCCTAAAAATTTTGAGTAGGTATACATTGCGAGATAATTAGGATATGGAAATATTGAGAAAATGATATGGAGACATCAGGTTGGGAGGGATCGAGTTCTGGTGTGAGAGAAAGCTAGATGCATTTATATTCATCCTATGATGTATAGATAGAAACATAAATTAATTCATTGCTAGATCTATATCGCTAAACACAGCCATTTATCTATGCTATTGCACTTATGAGAATACAAGAATACATCAGCGCACACTCATATGAAACAACTACACACATATGCATGTACTTGCATGAACGGTTACAAACTTACTAAAAATTAGGATTTCTATAGGTTACGAACATGTAAAATATTGCATCTCATTTTAGCTTCTAAAGATTTTGGATCGGACATTCCCAGGTAATAAGTTTTTTGATTATTCTAAGAGAAAATTAAAGTCCAGTACTCCAGAAATGCTCAACATGTATCGTGGAGTATTTGCGTATCTATTCGTTAAAATTTTTTGGCTGCATGTCAAGTGAAAAACAAATAGCCGAGATGTTGGGATTAGGGCTGATTTATCCCTTTCATGTTTTCTAGAAGGGAAACTGATACATGTTGGCATGGTTTTTGACCTTTTATAGTATGTAAAAACTGTTCTATTTGTAAAAAAGTGAGAGGCAGAGCTCATAGAATAATTATATACTATTGGGATTCTATGAATTTGTCCTCTCTTTTTTCTATCATTTGAAAGGTGCATTATCTTAGGTATGAACAATGGATGGGTGATCCAGTAAAACAAATTATTTTGTACGTTATTTTAAGATTATTTTGATTATTTCATTTAATTAGGATTTTTGGATTTATTTTAGTTGAAGTATTCATTATCCTTTTAGACAATATCAGGTTTGATTTTTGAATTCGTTAGGATTATATAAGAATAGATTTTATTTCAAAATGCTTGATTTCTATTGTAACCTTATTTTATAAATAAGGATTGAGAAAAGGACCAAAATGGTCTCTGAACTCTTTCTGAGGGATCAAAATAGTCCTCAACTATTTTAAAGGATTAAAATAGTCCCATTTGGAGGAATTGAGAGAACAAGTTGGTCCCTCAAAATTAAGTCTTTCCCTCTTCACTTTCTTTATTAAGATATCTTCGTTGTCTTTGTAGACTTAATTTTATTGCTCAATATCCTAATAAAGAAACTAATAATTACAAAATCATACATAATTGCTCTAAAATAATCTTTTCTAATTCAACCACCTAAATACGGAAGGAGATCGGTGCAATCCAGGTGAGCCTCTGTTATGTTTGGACCGGTCCCAGCTGGACCGGTCCGGTTCTACACCCGGCAGCCCAAAGCCTGGCGGAACCACACCGCAGAACGGCGGAAGAAGTGGTGGGCTTAGGCGAGCATTGAGCGTTTCGTTGGACAGAATTTTTGAATGAGGAGGGTGTTTAGGTAATTTGTATCTTTCCTTTTGCTTTAATTAGGGAGTAACGAGGGAATTAGGGGGTATCTTGAATTTGAATTTTATTTGAGATCTAGGTTTTGTTCTTGGGCTCTCGGCATTACCGGAGATTGTGGAGAGTATTTCCTTCCTCTCGAATTGAAGGAAAAATTGTATCTTCCAAGTGCTTTTCGTCTGCTAGTGGAATACAAGCGTTTGTTTGGTTTTCTCCCAGATTTTCCTTTGTATTTCTCAGTTTTGGCGCTGTTTTCTGCTGTCAACAGCAGAATTTCTGCAATTTGCTCATCCCTTTGGCTTAGGTTTGCTTGCGAACTCAAGTATTACCTTAGGGTTACTTGAGGACTCAAGTATTTCCTATCAAATTGGTATCAGAGCATTGTTTTTGGGATCGTTGGCGGCTGAAATCCTGTAATTTCAGCGGGATTTTCGTTTCCGGAAAAAGATCTTTGTGATTCTTGGAAAGAACGATGGCCGGGAAGAAGGTAGAAGTCTTGGAAGGCGAAATCGGACAATTGAAATCCGATTTGGAGGGAAGATTTTTCGATTTTCAAAATCAAATCACCTCCAACAATGAAAGGTTGGAGGGGAAGTTCACCGTGATGGAAGAAATGATGAAGAAATTGCTTGAAATGAAGACCAATCCGGCGACATCGGAAGTACGAGAGACCACCGACGGCCATGGCATGGGAGGAAATCCGAACCCATTACGGGGGAGGAGGAATTCGGAGGTGGATATCCTAGAGGAGGAGAATGACATGCCCCCTCTAGAACCACTTTCTAGAGAAGAGATGAGTAGGGGATACGACCAACAGAAGACTGATTTTGTCGGAAGGAGGGAAGACTTCAATCGCCGAGGTGCTGAATTTGAAAGAATCCAGCGTCGAGGTGCTGATTTTGAAGGGGGAAGGGAAGAATTTCATCGCCGAGGTGCTGAATACGAAAGAATTCAGTGTCGAGGGGCTGTTTTTGAAGGAAGAAGGGAGGAACGTCATCGTCAAGGTGTTGAATTTGAAGGAATTCAGTGTCAAGGTGATGATTTTGAAGGGAGAAGAGGAGAGTATGAAGAGGGATTCGAGTATAACTGTTGGAGGGATGATCGGGACACTTGGGGAACTCTTCCCCTTTGAGGAATGGGAGGTTATGGAGAATACCGGGGAAACGGATGAGACCCACGGGTGAGGAAGCTGAAGATACCTGTCTTTGAGGGTGAAGACGCCCATGGCTGGATCTACAAGGTGGAGCGTTACTTCGTTGTCAACGGGTTGACAGAGGAAGAAAAACTGACGGAGGCGGGATTGTGTTGGGAAGGAAAGGCCTTGGCCTGGTATCAGTGGCGTGGCAGGAGGGAGCCCATACGGAGCTGGAGAGAGTTTAAGGATTACTTACTAGAGCATTTCCGAGCCGATGGGGAAGGAGACTTCTATGAGCAATTCTTTGCTCTGACTAAGGAGGAGACCGTGGCAAACTACCGTGACAAGTTCAAGTACTTGGTTAGCATATTAGATCACATTTCAGAGTCAGCCTTGGAAGGTAACTTCATGAAAGAGCTGAAACTGGAGATCCGAACAGCAGTCAAGGTGTTGGAGCTGAGGAACCTAGGAAAGGCTATGGAGCTGGCACAGTTGGTGGAAGATCAGAAGAAATCAGAAAGAGGAGCTCGAGGGAACTATTCTGGGGGCTCATACAAGATGACTACCACATTCTTACCAACAAAAGGGGGAGCGCCAGGGGGTCAGAAGGAAGCACCCAAGGAGAAGGCTGGAGGGGGAAATGTGGGACAGTTCAAAAAGTTGACAGAAAAAGAGATGCAGGATAAGAGAGTAAAGGGGTTGTGCTTCAGGTGCGATGAGAAGTACATGCCGGGACATAGGTGCAAGGACCGAACTCTTTAGGTTCTCCTTGTCTGTGAAGACGAGGAAGACGAGGAGGGAGGTGGGAGCAGATCTGAAGAGGAGGAGGAGAAGCTGCACCTGGATGTGGCAGAAGTCTCTCTGAACTCTATAGTGGGATCACCCCGAGTCACACTATGAAAGTGAGAGGAGAGATAGCTGACTGCGAGGTGGTTGTGTTAATTGACAGTGGGGCAACCCACAATTTTATTTCCAACCAGATTGTTGAGTTGTTGGGAATGGAGTTAGTGGATACCGGAGGCTATGGGGTGATGATGGGCACGGAGAAAGTGGAAATGGGTAGAGGGGTTTGTAGAGGGGTGGTGCTGAAGATTCAGGGGATCTAGGTGAAGGATTTCCTTCCTTTCAAATTGGGGAGCACTGACGTCATCCTGGGGATGAAGTAGTTGCAGACATTGGGGGAGACCAAGATCAATTGGGGTACACTGAGGATGGAGCTGATGATGGGAGAAAGGAGGACGATTCAGGGTGAGGAGGATGATCCAGGGTGATGCAGGGCTGACCAAGGCAAGGGTTTCTCTCAAATCCCTCATTAGAACCATTCAGGAGGAGGGAGGAGGCTACTTAGTGGAGTTGCACTGCCTGGAAGGGATCAGATTAGAGGAAGAAGAAGGCAATGTTTCACCTACCGTGCAGCCGCTCATACACCAATTCAGCGAGGTCTTTCAACCTCCCCAAGGTTTACCTCCTCAAAGGAGCTGGAGCATGCCATTACTTTGAAAGAAGGGGAGACACCGATCAGCGTCCGCCCTTACCGTTACCCACATATTCAGAAAGAGGAGATTGAGAAGTTGATCCGGGAGATGTTAGAGGCGGGGATCATCAGACCCAACATCAGTCCTTTTTCTAGTCCAGTTCTCCTGGTCAAAAAGAATGATGAGAGTTAGAGATTCTGTGTGGATTACAAGGCTCTGAATAAGGGCACTGTACCAGACAAGTTCCCAATTCCGGTGATTGATGAACTGTTGGATGAACTGCATGGAGCAGTGATGTTTTCAAAGCTGGACTTAAAATTCGGATACCACCAGATCAGAATGAGGGAGGCGGATGTTCCAAAGATAGCATTCAGGACACATGAAGGGCATTATGAATTCCTAGTA